AATAATACCAGTTTGAGATCTGATATATTTCTGAAACCTAACCTGCTTGTTACTTATTCATTGGTGATAGTTAACCTGAGGAAGTAAACGGAGTAGGAAAATGCAGCAAGTCTAAGTACTTCCTTAAAAAAAAAAAAAAAAAGATACTTGTTGAGCATTTAGCCAAGCCCTTTCTCTGCATCCAGGAATATTTCATGGACCCCAAAGGAAAGATCTCTGGGGTGCATATTCGCTACATTAACATCCCTGAATGGCTCGCAATGAAACAATCTGGCAGTCAGAAGTGCTTTAGCAAGGAAAGGAGCACTCTTGATAATGAACATGCCCAAGGGGCTCCCGTGTACTTGAGGCATGCAATTCTAATTTTCCCTTCAGGAGCCCCACAAGGAAATGGCAACCCACTCCAGTATTCTTGCCTGAAGAATTTCATGGACAGAGGAGCATGGAGGATGTGAGTCCATGGGATCACTCATATTCGGACATGACTGAGTTACTTATTTATGGTAATTACTAAAGATGCAACAAGGAATAGGAATGACACAGGTGTTCCCACAGAAAGCTTACAGATTAGAGAAAGAAGAGAAGAGTAAATGGGAATTTCAACACAGTGGGATAAATGCCAAGAAGGAAAAGCTCTCCATAGGCAAAGAAGCGTATCAATTCACTTTGTGCATCTTCAGAGAATAATTAATACCAGTCTCCCAGAATTAAATGTGCTCTGTAAACAAGAGTACCAGGGCTCTTGTCTTGTGATGAGGAGCAGCTGACACCAGCTTTTTTATTTACTACCATAAACTGATAACTTAAGATCTGAGATCAAGTGATGCCTGCAAGTAGTGTGGTTCCATTCTGAAAGTGAGTGCCTGCTGGCTCTACAGCTGATGACCTGTCCGTATTTTCTCACTGAAAGTCTTTGCTACTTCTCGTTTCGCTCCATGATTTGAACCTAAACTCTGATTTATGCCTTTGTCCCTGCTTCTCTTTAGGCCTTCCTGTCCAGATGAAACTTTCTGGATATTAATCCCTATAGTGGAAACTCTTCCAATGCTTCTGCTAGCTTGCTACCTAGGACTGTGCATGCCTGTCTATTCCAATACAAACCATTGACTGGGGTCTTCTAGTTTGAATGGAAATCCCTAGACATCTCCTTCTCCATCAGCCTCTTACATAACATTAAATATTACTTGCATATTGTCATCAAAATATTTCTTGAGTCTGTCCCTTCCAATGAATTGCTACAACCTCCTAAATTAGAAGTTTCACCCTACCTAAACCAGAGACCTGGGTCTCACTGAAGACCTCTTAACTTCTTGCATTTGGTCTTCCCACCTGTAATCCACCTTTCACATCACTATCAGAGTGATGCTTCTAAAATATGAACATATGCGCTCCTGTTCAAAACTCTTTCATGGCCCCCCAATAAATGCAGAGCGACCCAAGCTTTTAAAATGGCATACGATGCTCTTCTTGATGGATCTAAATACTGCCTCCTTCTAGAGCCTCGTCCTTGACATCCTCTGTCTCATGTTTTCACAGTGTATGTAGTACTGCCAGATCACTTGGTGTTTCTTTGGTATTTATCATGCTGTTTCTCTTCCAGGCCATTCCTACAATTGTTTACTCAATATGCATATTCTTTCCTGTTTACCTGGCTGGCTGCAAGATCTATCCATAGCATCTGCCTCCAAGGCAGCTCGTGCTCACCTGTTACAGCTCTTACATCTAATATTGAAACCATCTACAGAAGTGTCAGTTTTTCTAGAGACAACATGTTCCTTAAGAGGAAAGATAATTTCTTTTTTTTTTTTTAACATTTATTTATTTGGCTGCACTGGGTCTTAGTTGCGATATGTGGGATCTAGTCCCCTGACAAGGGATGGAACCCACACCCCCTACATTGAGAGGGTGAAGTCTTGGACCAACTGGAACAACAGGGAAGTACAGGGATCATTTCCTAATTCATTCTTATCTTCACAGCATGTAATGGGAGTACTGAGGCATAGTAGCTACTTAGTAAATTCTCAGTTAAGCTGATTAAAATTTAGCCTCTAAATGCTTTGTCAGGGTTTTTTGACAAAAACAAATTCCTTGTCTATGGGAATGCCCTGCTTTACTTAACAACCATCTCAACCCTCTTCCTCTCTGTCACGCATTATTCTTAGATTCATTGTAATTTTATCTATGAGCCAGGTCCAAATCTTAGTTGGGTTTCATGTTTATGTTATGTTACCACTGCCAACAAAGCAACAGGAACACAATTTCCACCCAGTCTTAATTCTTCTAAAATTAACACTAAAAGAAGAAATTCATTTGGCAGATTTATGAAAACAATTACAAAATGCCATCAGAGGTCCTTCTAATACTGCAAGACGTCAACATCGACTAGCTGAATAGCAATTCTACTTTCCATATAGCTTTTGTCCTTTGACTTCAGATATTATCTTCAATACTTATAGAGCTGTCCAGTCATAGTTCATGGGAATTACAGTACTGTAGCCCATCAATAACCTGAGCCATCTTTCTAGTAAATAGATTCAATTACTCCTTAGTCAGTTGGTCAGTGTAGTATTGCTTATCACGACCTTTTTACACTGTAGAGCTACAGTTGCCTCATGCAGCATTAAAACTTGTCTGATCAGAAGTTCAACCCCATTAAATGATAAGGGAAAACAGCTCACTCGCTCCCAAATTAAAGAGCTATGATTAAGAGTCATCTCTGGCTCTCATAATTTAACTGAAAAACAGCAGTGAAAACTTTCTGTTCAGAAATGATAAAGATTTTAACTTGAAAGGAAATTTCAAGTACATTGCTCTTGTTGTCAGAATTGTGGAGTTGGGAAAAGAAAAAAAAAAAGAGAGAGAAATGCTTTATTAATGCACAGAAAACTTCTAGCTAAAAAATTCTGAGACAGCAAAACATGTATATTCTAAAATTTCTATGCCAGCAGCATAAATACAAGTCAGGATTGGCTTCTATAAAAATGGTGAGGTACACACAGGATCACTGTATTGAAAGTATGAGAGAAAATTTTATAAGGTCAAGTAAATTTCAATGTTCAATCATAATACTGTTAATTTCTTATTAAGAATTTTTTTAAAAAAGAAGCTTCTCTAATGACTATCTGGTTTTCTAAAGTGAACTCTGTCTTGTACCACCTCCCACCTGTACCTTACTCATGAATCTCAGGGCCTTATTCCTGTTGACTCAAATATTCATCTTCTTGCCACTGTTATACTTACTTAGCCAACTGGAGAACTTCTACATAAGTTTTTTATGACTGAGTTTAAACATATTTTTGCAGAAGCCTTCTCTGACATGCTAGCAGCATCACACCCTTCCATCCTCCCAACACAAACACTGTAGTTCTTCCTTCTTCTGTATTCTCAGGTCAATGTTTACCTATCTCTATAACAATATAACTCACATTAAGGATTTCAAGGATATCTAAAATTTGTTTATAATTCCATTTTCCCTATTAACTTCCATGGCTTTCTAACACATATCCCCAATGTCTGTACACAAAAAATACATGATCAATAAATCTTGGCTAAATGAAAAAGACTGGCTATATTTAAATGTTAATATACATAATCGTGGGCTTCCCCTGTGGCTCAGATGGTAAAGAATCTTCCTGCAATGCAGGAGACCTGGGTTTGATCCCTGGGTTGGGAAGATTCCCTGGAGAAGGAAATAGCAACCTACTCCAGTATTCTTGCCTAGAGGGTTCCATGGACAGAGAAGCCTGGTGGGCTACAATCTATAGGGTCACAAAGAGTTGGACTTGACTGAGCGACTAACTGATACTGATACACATAATGGTAAGAATGTGAATCTGACATGGCATGTAATCCATTCTCCCCTTCTTTATATCAAAAAAGAAGTAAAAGTGTCAGTCGCTCAGTCGTGTTTGACCCTTTGAAACCCCACAGACTGTAGCCCGCCAGGCTCTTAGGTCCATGGGATTCTCCAGGGAGAATACTGGAATGGGTTGCCATTTCCTCCTCTAGGGATCTTCCCGACCCAGGAATAGAACCCACATCTCCCACATTGCAGGAAGATTCTTTACCATCTGCCACCAGGGAAGCTAAGAAAGTCACTTATCTTAATGAAAACCTCACTTTGCTCATATTTTTAAATAAGGATATTATAAAAACTTAAGGTTCTGTCATGCAATAAAATCCTAAGTTAGAACACAGTTGGTAAGGTTTATAGTACAGTTGGTTTTCTTATAGAATTTAAATGGGATGGAAGATTTTAGTAACTTAAAGCAGAAAAAACTACTCTAAAAAAGAACGCAAGTGCTTAAGCATTGATAATTTCATAAACCAATATCTACATCTTATATGATCACAATGTTCTATATATTTAATGAATTTCCAAGTTGATCTGATATATGAAGACAGCTGAAAACTATCACACAGTGTAGGAGAATCTTTTTGCTAAAATTAACAAATTGTTCAACATTATTTTTTGTTACCTTCCATTACATTTAAATCATGATGTCAAAGAATCATGAAACAATCAACACACAGCTTACCCTTCCCATTTTGTAAATGAGAAAACATACCCAGAGAGGTGAAGGATTTGCTTGAGCCACTGAGATATTTGGCAGCTTTGAGCTAACACTCCAGAACCAGAATGGAAGTATATATACACGTAAATGAGGACTGGTTACAGCTTCCCTGACTTTTGTGCACCTCAGCTTTCTCTCCCAAGAAAAAGGTAGAGGAATTTGTCTGACAATCAAATTTCAATATTTCAACAGTTTTACTTTCTCATTTATTCTCTCATTCCATGCCTGTATATTTAAGCTAATTTTTAAATATTAAACTAAAAGAACATGGCGGTTTCTTGAATGCATTACAATGATATCTTTCCCAGTAATGAAGTATTAAGGCTTTCAAATGTTCAGTTAATGTCAAAATACATGACTAGGCCAAATAGGATGCCTTGAAGGTCATAAACATGATGAAAGCTTTAGGATTCCAAGATTAATTACCTTGCTCTCTGCTAACCAGCGATGTGGGTCATAATTAATATCAGGACTAGATGAAAAAACCTACAAAGAAAGAGGAAGTCATCAATTAGAAGTAGGTACCTCCCTGAAATGAATTTACATAAATGAAGACTGTACACCATTATATCCAAAAGTTCAGTCTCTAAACCTAAGGGTTTAAAAAGAAAGTTCACAGCAAGTATAAAACCAGTTCCAAACCATTATTTATTTAACGCCTATTTATTTACGCATGTATATATGTATCAATATATGTATACATCAGTATGAAAACATGTATGAATGTATGTATTGACACTAAATATTTAGCTCACGTATACACATATGACTCAACTCTCAAGTGCTACTACTTGAGAATCTCGAGGCTCTTGAGAAGCTCGAATCTCTGAGGCTGATCCATGGAGTTCTGCATGGCAAGCAGCCTCACTTACACCAGTTTACTTCATTTTTGTGTCTTTTCCTCAGTCTTGTTCCAGATAATGTATTTCACAGTGAGTCAGATGTAATTGCATAAAACTTAATTCTTTGTCTCATTTTTCCTTCTTCAATTTTATACTATGAGAGCTATTTTGTCTCATTAATGGTTGTGTAGAACTGACAGAACCTAATCAATATAACTTCACACCTACATTGCTTTGTAATTCATGATGGTAACAAAATTCTACAATAAACAGGTTGTCTACACTAGATGTCCTGAGTTCCTTCATACCAACCCATTTATAAAATTACTGTCAGCTGGTTCTGCCTTATTACTGATAAAAGTGTACTCAAAGTTTGTCAGTCACTTCATAATTGTAAACACAAAAGATTTTTTCAATTTTTCCCTTTGAACTTTGTGCTATCCATGAAATTTTTGCATCGGTTTTTCCTAGAAATTTTCTGCTTAAAAGTATCTTATCCCTCTGCATGCAATGTCTGCTCCTATCTTCAAATACTTCTATACTTCTTGATGTGAGTGCACATGACTCCCCTAAGGAATAGCATTAGGTAATTCATTTAGACATATGATGAATGCACAACAAGCGCTGACCACATGCCACGTACAAGAGTGCTGTAGTCTCATATAACCTTTCTATCATCCATTTTTCTCATTATCTAGATCTCACTCAATTCTCAGGCCTTTCTGGCTTTTTCAGTGAGATTTTTCTTAATCTCTAGTTCACAGTGCTTTCTTCCTTTTCTACCTCTCTACTGTATTGAATATTTGTAACCATCCATTTATCATTGATTATGTTGTTCTTTATTACTCTTTTTCATTGACGTATGTCATCATCTCAAGTCTTCAGACCTAAGATACAGTACTCAAGATTAAAGACCAAAATAATCTGAAATAAAACAATGTTTATATTTTGCAACATGCTTTATACATTTATATATAGTTTAGTGTTTAAGAAAATAGTCACTTAATCACTTATAAATGGTGTGACTTAATTGTTCTCTAAGCTGCAGGTTATCATCTATTAAGTGAGTAAACTACCTCATGAGGCCAGGGTATAAATTAAACAAAATGGGTGTTAGCACAATATCAGACATACAGAACACCATTATCACTTCACTACTAACTGCATATCAAGATGTAATTATCAATAAATACACTTCAAAGTCTATTATGACAAGAGCACAAAGTCTATTAAGACAACAATTATTTGTCATAAAAAGATTAAAGAAATAGAAGCCATATACTTGACAATATGAGTACATTACAAAAAACTCTCTGCATAATAATGAGAGAAATCATTAGTTGATCCTGCTATCTTGCACTAATAAGTGCAAGATATGATACACTTGTACATCACACTATGATGTACACCGTCTATATCTTTTTTATTTTATCTTCATAATAACCCAACTTATAAATAGGACATGAATTCTTAGAGCGAATAAAGATTACATAACTCATACAAGGTCATACATTAGCAATTTGGAGAGTTGCAATTTGAATCTCCATCTGTCTTGATCCAAAGCCTATTCTCTGCATGCTCTACAAAGAAATGAATACTCTGACCAAGTGTTAGGGGAAAATCTCTAGAATTACCAAAGATTGGTCTGTGAAAATATTGTATCTTTAATTCAGACACTTTTCTAATTGTTCCATAAGCATCTAACAACAGATTTTCAAACACTGCATGCACTTACTAATGTGGAATAAGTAATAAATATGGTGGCTGAAAAAAGAAACTATAATTAGAAATAATGCCAACATTCCCAAAGACTTTTCACAGACTCTTTTGTTGCATATCTCTTATTCGGTCCACTCCATAATAGTCACTTTCTACATAAAATGGCTGAAAATTTCATCAGCAATATTTCAAAAATCAACAAATGATCAGGAATGATTGGAATTACTTCATTTCTGAAAATATTTTACAAAGACCACCAATCTCACCTACATTTCTGAACTACAAAACAAAAAAATCAATTTTAATAAACACTTTGGTGGTTTCTGTGAAGTGAGGACAAATGTTATGTTCTTGAGTATTCCTTTGTTTTTCAATTTTATAGAAATGAAACAAGAAAAATTATTAATGAAAAAAGATCCACAATTTAAAAAAAAATGCATTCTTAAAAATAATCTAATGGAATTTCCATTCTCATAGACTAACTTTCCACCCATCACTTAGACTTGAATTAGTCTTTCTCCAGGTAAAGAGGTATAAAGACCCATTACCACCACATTCTTGAAAGCCTATTAAAGAATAGGGTACTTTTCATAATAGTATGTTAGAAGGATAATTTGAATCATATAAAGAAATAAAATATTTAAGCAATGTACTACATACACACTATGCTTTAGCTTGTAATTGACCCGTTTTAGTCTGTAAATAACAAGGTTTATATATAACGCAATCCAAATGTTCCTATTTTTATATCTCTACTTGGCTGAAAACAAGCCATTCTGACATAAATTCTTAAACACAGAATAAATATTCGATAGTAAATCTGTGCATCTTCTAGATAAAATTATGACTTCAAGGGTTTAAATATATGTCAACAAGTTCTAAATAAAAATAAAGCAGTAAAAAAAAAAAAATAAAGCAGTATTAGATAAGGAACAGAATAAACGAACATTATAACAGGACAGAAAGAGTTAGTTTTCCCCTAAAGCTAAATACTTCTTGTATTTGGCTCACAGTCCTCTCAAATTGACATCTGAACTTTAAAAAAAAAAAAGTATACAAAAACATATATTGTAGAAATTCCATCAACTTCGCCAAATTCTGCCAGTTGAAATATTTCCTTTAAAGCTGAATCCTAAAGCACAAGTGGAGAATATCATTTTATGTTCTTGAAAACATTATTTAAGAAAAACAAAAAAGATGGGTAGAAAAAACAGGAAAAAAGAGGGGAAAGTAGTTCAGGGAAGAATATTTTATATGAGAAAAAAAGATGAATGACAAAATATTTGAAAAGATTAAAAAAAAACTTAATGCATAATATGATAATTTGAATGCTGTTATATCATCAAATGAAATAACTACAGGGGGAAATGATGGGCTAAACTATAATGTACTGTGGTCTTACCACTCCAAAGCACTGCAATGCTCTTTATATATAACTTAGCAGTACTAGGGCCTAGAGTGTAAGGAGGTACTTACTTCAAGGAATTAAGAACATCCATGATTACTTCTGTTTTTATTTATTATTTCACTAGGACTACAAATTTAGTGGCAATAATCCATTTTAAAGACAGGAAAACTAAATAATAAAATGCAACTTGTTTAAACAGGGAAGCAAATAGCATGGTAGATACTTCTTTAAGCTCCAGAGTTAAACACCCAATATTTGAAGTCTTAATTCTAGCTTTAGACTAGATACATGGCCAGGGGCAACTTACTTATCCCCTTCAAGTCCTGCTTTCTCTTGCCTAAAATGGATTTAACGTGAGTGTCTAAAGGACAGGGTGGTTTCAGAATGGAGAAAGAATGTATATACTGTAATTAAAACAGTATGTGTAATATAGCTAGCACTCAATAGGTGTGATCCAGTAATATACTAACAACAATAAAAATGGCCTATGATAATAAAAAATTCAAAATCCAGGCTTCTTGACTTGAAAGATTTCTCTAGTAAGACATTTTCTTCTACAGAGTGAGATACAAGCAATTCAGTGTAGTAACAGCATGAAGTAACTTTCTTTCACCATGACTGTGCAATAGATAAAATAGCTCATTCTAAAAAGTGTAAGATGTTATTTTGTTCCATAAAATTCTCTGGAATAAAAATGTGATGACCAGGTAACTATGCATTAAATCATATAACTATATATTAGGAAACTAACTGAAAGGCACACAGCAACTCGTAATTACTTTCAATTTGTCCATTGAGTCCCTGGAGAACGTTTTACAAGCTGCATCAATTTCCTTTCCTATCACCCCAAGGATGGATTCCTGTTCCGTCTCCAGACAAAGAAGTTGATCCTTGAGCTGCAATCTGGCCTCTTCCATCCTCCTACGGTTTTCTTCTTCGTTGGTTATATGTTTTTCCTAGAGGCGTTGGTCAGAAATAAAATCAGAGGTTAATTATTAAGTGAAGACAAGAAACACATGTCATATCTGTACAACAAACCCAAAGAAGCACATTAAAAAACAGATCTGACTTTGCCCCTTGATGTTACCAAAATAACTTAATATTCTTTCTCATTAACTGATGTCAAGTAACAGAGAATTCAGAAGTACGATAATGAGTGAAATAGTGAGCAGATAGGTGATAAAAAAATACTACAGTAATTCTGCTACCAAAAGAAAAAAAAAGTTTTTAAAAATCCTTCACCGATTTAATAACACAGTGCCATTAATGGATCAGAGTAAAAGCCAATGTCACAAACCGATTTTGAGTTTTCAATAAATATTAGTAAAATACTAGAAAAGGCAAAATGTCAAGTAAGTAGGTTTCTTCATTTCAGGAAAAAAAAAAAGTATTACTACTACCTTTATCTCATCAAAACACCATTTCAAAAGGTCTAAGTTTCCAAACTCAGTAATACTACATAAGGGCTTTGAGTCATGAAAATTTGATAGAGGTAAGAAAGACCTACTTTTCAAGTAAGTAAATATACTTCATGAAAAGGAGATTCTCAAGAACCCTATAAGAGATAGGGTCCTACAAGGCTGGGGGACGCTCCCTAGTCAAAACAACTCCATCACTCAGTTCAGTTCAGTTCAGTTGCTCAGTGGTGTCCAACTCTTTGCGACCCCATGAATCGCAGCACGCCAGGCCTCCCTGTCCATCACCAACTCCTGGAGTCTACTCAAACTCATGTCCATCGAGACGGTGATGCCATCCAGCCATCTCATCCTCTGTCATCCCCTTCTCCACCTGCCTCCAAGCCCTCCCAGCATCAGGGTCTTTTCCAAAGAGTCAACTCTTCGCATGAGGTGGCCAAAGTACTGGAGTTTCAGCTTCAGCATTAGTCTCCGTCATTAGGGTTGCACAATTTCATAAGAAATTCATTAGAGACATTCAAGTGGTATTGCACAAGACTTAGAGGAAAAGAACAGAATCACTACAATTGTAAGGATAAACAGAAGACCAAAAAGTCACAATGGCTGGCTAGTTATGCCTTCAGTCATCACACAGTAGCCTAATGATCTTCACCTACCCTAGTAAACACAACATAAGCAGGAAGATTATATGGTCAACCAATCAACTTGAAAGGCTTTTTCAATGAAAATTCATCATGAAAGACAGAATGGTATTTGAGCAGAATAATCACACATGAATTTCCTAGCAGTTCAATTTACTTAAAAAAAAAAAAAATGAATGAAATACCCTCCCTACAAAAGAACAGTCATTTCACAACCTGACTTCTGCTCTTCTCTCCCACCTCATCTCCCTCCTTTCCACTCTCTCATACTTGCAGCTTCTCAAAAACACCTACATGTGTCTTCTCTAGCCACTTCTCATCTGAACAACTCACTCTGAAATTGTGTTATTTCAAAATGGAGCTAGCAGTCCTGAGAAGACGTTTACCTTCATGAGTACGTCTTCCTGACCAGGAGCTCAACTGTGTAGACTTAGGAGCTGGAGCGTCACTGCTTTCTGGGGCTCTGATGCAAGTCGTCTCTCAGCAGTCGAGCACACTAAGCTCACAGGAGACTTGCGGACAGACTAGAACACCACTCAGCTCACTACGTTAGTTTACAATGAGAGCCGTGACTGCATAGGGGTCAGAGTGCTCATGTCAGTGCAGACCAGCATACTCTCTCCCTGTAGACCAATCTAGCTGGGAAGGCAAATTATAATCAGAATGTTGCTTAATGAACTGGAAATCTGACCAGAGGAGTCTGTTTCATGAAACAACATTTAAATGGCATCACATTAATGGCAGCCTGGCATGTCCAACTACATGTCAGGGCTTTCAAACCACAGTAACAAGCGTGTCCCATTCTCTTGGGTAGAGTCTGGATGGAGACTGTTTCAGTACATCTCCCTTTCTCCTTTGTCCACACTCAGTTTCTGCTCAGACTCTCCCCCCTGATGGATATGGTATCTTTTCAGATGATACTCTGCTAAGTCTAACTTCATCGAGAAACCTTTCACAAAAATTAACATCGTGGCCTGGCTCTGACAGTAAGGGATGATCTCATAGTTTTTTACTAGAAAGAAACCTTACTGCCAAGTCCCTAGTTGAGGATACTTGCCTCTGTATTGTTATGCATCTACCCACCTATGCTTCTTATCTTTCAAACTTTCTCCTTCAAACCCCAGTCTCCTTTCATTTGTATCTCTCAATGCAGAAGGTTCCCACAGTACATTATGTATACCACAGTTTTTTTAAATGCAGTAAACTATAATAAAATTATTTGGTCATGCACCTGTCTCCCTTAGTAAATTGATAATTTCAGGAGACCACAAAACATATTTACAGTTATCTTTAAACTCCTCCACTTTACTAAATAAGTGATTTAAACATTTTTGAAGACAAATTCAACACTGTAAAGGCCATTTCATCAATTACCATGCAGATCTATATACTCAAAGGCCATTGAGGTGTGCTAGGCTTCCTCTATACAAACAGTCCTCCAATCAAACAGGCTGCAGTGTTCTCGCCGCAGGCCTGTGGTGCGATATTAATAAAGAAAATACTCTATCAAGGGTGGTTGACATACTTAGGGAACAACTGTTCATACTTTAAATCCACATGATTCACAATAATGTTCTAACTGATTTTTCTTTTCTCTTTTCCCTCATAGACATCTTTCTTTTTTCCCTTGTCACTTTTCTGTACTCTGATACTTGACTCATTTAAAAGAAAACAAAATTATTTCCAGATTTTTATAGTCTTAAGAAACACTGATCCTGTCAAAAAGAATCTACAAGTTCAATCACTTTAGCAAAGGCTGGAAATTTCATTACCCACTTCATTATCCCCTGCGAGACAGCATGCCATGTCCAATCTCCCTTTGAAGTAAAACTCACAGAACTACAAACTCACATGAACCTTAGTAATAAGTGGGTTCAACTACCTGCTCTTTCAGGATCCCCTTCTGTGACATTTATGACAGATGGTCATGCAACCCCTACCTACATGACCAACTCGGGTTTCAAGGAAAAGAGTACTTGACAAAAATGCAAAAATCTTTCCATGAGTCTAAGTGCTATCCTCAAAAATTAAAGCAAATAAGTGAATCCTCCACCCCTACTAAATCTTCTACTGTTCCAGGTAAAGGTCTGTGGTTCTTTTATTTAATTAGCTTTCAGATGCTGCACCATACTGGTTCTCCATCCTTTCTGCATGTCCTCCAAGACCCTAAATTTAAGAGTTATAATAAATAAGCTCCTCCATTCTGTACATAAGCAACTGTAATTTAATTTTTTCACTGGCTCTATAAATCTTTATGGAATGCCTACTATGGCAGTACACTCTTCTGAATGCCAGGGATAGAGCAAATGAGATAGATAAGCCACCTGTTCTCACAGAGCCAACAAATTTCAATACTTCTGTTTTATCCCAGTTCTTCTGCCTTGAGAATATCAATTTGAACACTAACTGTGGCACCCAAAGAATTAGCTGTTTTTCCCTGTTTCATGTTTCAGAAATAACTCTACCAATGCAGTGTGTGTGTGTGCTAAGTCGTTACCGATTCTGTGTGACCTTATGGAATGTAGCCTCCCGGCTCCTGTCCATGTGATTCTCCAGGTAAGAATACTAGAGTGGGTTGCCATGCCATCCTCCAGGGGATCTTTCTGACCCAGGAATCAAACCCCATGTCTCTTATGTCTCCTGCATCAGCAGGTGGATTCTTTACCACTAGTGCCAGCTCAGAAGCCCACCAATTGGGCAAGTACAGCTAATTCTTTGGGAAGAAGTTAAAACTGGTTGACATTAACTCAATCAACCATCTCACTGGGGCCACATAGGTTAATAAAGGCAGATGGCAATATTTAGGCACTATGATGGCTATTCTGTGGCCTTCTAGTGAAATTAGAGGGAGAAGTAATTCTACAACAACATGAACCAAAAGCTACCATATTTCTAGAGAACCAGAAATAAAAGAAGGTATTTCAGAGACTATTTAAAGATATGGAAGACATAGATAGTCCAAGTTCAATGTTTCAATGTGAAAGGACACAAATGCTTGGTTCTTAGGACTATAAGGAGATTCTTCACAGGGGGTAGGGGAGCGGGGCTAGATGAAGCTGACTATAACAGTCTATATGATCCAAGACGAGGGATATCAACAGACCATGACTGAATCTGAGAAAGAACCACCTTAGAAAATAAAAGTGAAAGTGAAAGTCGTGTCCAACTCTTTGCAACCCCATGGACTAGAGAGTCCATGGAATTCTCTAGGCCAAAATACTGGAGTGGGTATTCTTCTCCAGGGGATCTTCCCAACCCAGGGATTGAACCCAGGTCTCCCGCATTGCAGATGGATTCTTTATCAGCTGAGCCACAAGTGAAATAAACCCACCTTTAGTTTTATGCATAAGGAAAGCAAAGTTCAGACAAAGAAACCTGACGAAAGTCAAAGAGCCAATAACCCATAAACTAAGTCCCCTGACTTCCTTACTAGTGCTCTCCATTCAAATACTATAAAGGTTGAGTTCTTAAAACTAGAGTTTAGAAATCCATGTGAAAATCTCAAAAAAGTTATCAGGAGGTTATATGGGGACTAATGTAGTCATAAAGTAGAAGGAATAACTCAAAAACATTTCTGAATGAGCCTTATCACTACAAATGAAAACATATGAAACAATGGCACAAGAAAAGGGAGGTAAACCACAACAAGAGGGAAAACCACCAAGCAGGTACAATACCCTAAATTTTTATGGGCTATCACTCTCCTCTATGCTGGAGATATACCTTGTATACACATAATCTCCTCTAGATTTTAGTTAAAAAGTATAACTAATACCACACTAAAGGTATAGTTCTATGGTCAAGACAGCAAAAGTTTCCTGATGCTTCCACTTAAAGACAGGAAAGGCTTACATTGTTGACATTTGCCTCGACAGAAAACAAAAATCTTAATACTCACAA